TAAGGAGTGTCAGGGTTATTATGCTCCAGTCAACACAAGATTAGTTTCCTCTGATATACTAGAAGAGGCCAACACCATGGGGTGTGGGTGGAGATGCCTCTGCCATTGCTAGTGGGGAAATTTCCTCTGGCAAAAAAATCTCATTAGCAGAAACTTAACATCCTCACCTTCATCAGGATCCTCCCAAATATCTCCATCCCAGTTTATAGGATCCCATTCTTTTCCGATCAGTGCCCTCACCTTTGCTTCAGATACCCTTTGAGGCTGAGCATTAAGCTTATGTTGTAGTTCAGCCAATTGAATTATGAGTTTTTGGTTTTGGTTTTGGTTTTGTACTGAAGATAGAACTTGGGACCTTGCGCTTGGGAGGCAGGTGGTGCACCCAACTGCATTATGAGGGCCTCTGTTTGGGCTTCTGCAATCTCAGCCCTGCGGCTGAAAGAAACGATATTTTCTTCAAGACACACTTACAAGCTTTTAAATTTCTTATGTATCTGGAGCTAGAAACTTGAATCTTTTGTCCAGAGATTTTAAGATCAACCAGTCAGCATCATTATATTTCTCACTCTTCCAAAAATATTCAAAACTTTCATGTATGGAGTCACTAAATTCCTTATATCTCACAACTGGTGAATCAGGATAATCAAGTCGATCTACACTGCAAATTACTTTAAACAGTTCATGCCAAGGATTATCAGTATTCACCACAGAAGCAGATGGAGAGACCATGGCATCAAATTAGAATGCCAGGGCCAGGGATTTAGCTCAGTGGTTCTGCCGCCTGCCTCGAAAGCACAAGGTCCTGAGTTCAATCCCCTGTACCAAAAAAACAAAACCAAAAACAAATTAGAGTGCCAACTCCAGGAACTCCTAAAGCCATTAAAGAATTTCATCTTTACAAGTGTTTCTCTAGAGCCACTCCCAGTACTAAAATCTGTATCAGTCCGTATTTACTAGAGAAACAGATATAACACAAGATATACAAATATATATGAATTTTCAAGATTGGCTTACAATCCCACTCACAGTTGGATGAGGAAGAGTCCAGAGGGTCTGTGTGCACACTGGAGACTGAAGGATTTAGCCAAAGGTCTGGAGCTCACTGTAGTGCCCCATGCGAGTCTATATCAGAAGGCTGATGGGTCTGTGCTGGAAAGCTGAAGAATCTGCACCAGAAGTTGAAGGGTCTGCACTGGAAGCCAGGAGATGATGTCCAAGGTGAAGGCGAAGACTGGAGTTCCTTGAGAAACAGAAGCCAATTCATCCTTCCTCACAGGGTCAAGCTGCTGCCTCAGGGTGGCTGTTCCACACCCTGGGGTGTGGAATGGCTGAGCTGATTTATTTAAATTTCTCTTAACCAAATTTCTCAAATTGACACAATCAATCATCATACTTGGCAATTTGGTGGGGGGGGTCTGTTTTGTAATTTAGGCTGGCCCTGAACTCACTAAGTAGCCCAGGCTGGCCTTGAATTCATGGAGATCCTCCTCCTGCCTCAGCCTCCCATTGATATGGGGGGAACAGATGTAACTATATATATCTAGATAGATATAAAACTATATCTATCTAGATATATCTAGATAGATATATCCAAAGCACGAGTTCATGTTCTCTGAAGTCAAAGAATTAATTCTAGGAACAATGGAGGTTAAGAGTAGAAAAAATTTATTGAAAGATAACTTCTAAGAGAGACAGAAGGGGGACCAGAAAGTGGGCTACCTGCTGACCCTGTTTCTCAAAGGCGTTTTATGGGACAAAGCCATGAGGTAAGGCAGGTTCAGGGAGACAAAACTATAGTCAACTAGTGACATTGCAAGTACAGTTGCTTTTATACTGATCCAATGAGATATCACAAAGTGGGCAAAACCATGATCAACCAATAAGTACAGTCGCTTGGATGATATTGATTAAATGGGGATTCAATGGGGAAACAAGTCACATAGCAAGCTTACAAGGAATGAGCAAGGATTTTCAGTAAGGGGAGGGTCAGGGATCTTTCCTGGAAGATCCTGGTCCCTCACCCAGGTGATTGATACCTATTTGGAATATCACTGCTATTCATCCTACAAGGGTGCCCTAGTTTCTCTTCTTTTACAATGCTGGTCCTTCAGTGAATGTGTCTTGATTTCCTCCAAGTTGGCTCCTCACAGGCTGGCCCTAACTGTCTACAAGATATCTAATTAACTTACCTATCTATAATACCATCACTTGGCAATTCTTTCCTCACACACAAGAACCCTATTATTAGCCCACTCAACTGTAATAACAGCAGCCCGTCTGAGAGGTACTGTGGTGGGCTGACATGCAACCCCCAAAACGTATGGCCATGCAGTCTCAGAATTGACCTCATTTAGAAATATGGTCTTCACAGATGTAATTAAAGATTTCCAAATGAGATTATCCTGGACTTAAGGTAGGACCCTAAATTCAAGGACACGTGACTTTATAAGAGAATGAAGAAAGAGAACTGGACAAAGGGAGAGCAAGATATGAGGATGGAGGCAGAGCTCAATAGCACCTTTGGTCACTGAGGCTGAAGAGGACTCTTGGATCCCTGGGAGGAAGGATGGCCCTGTAACACTTTTGTCTAGACTCCTGGTCTATAGGATAGAGACTAAATTTCTATTGTTTTCCCCAGCGCTTTATTAGGGCAGACACAGGAAGTTGATACAAATTACCAAGGGCCACACGGGTCAATATAACCCTCAGAATATAGGTCACTGTAAACCTCAGAATATAGTAACATAGTTACAGAATATAGCTGTTGAGTAAAACAAAACCCTGAGTCATGCCAATCTATATAACTGAATGAAATGAAAGGGGCAATTTCTGAGAACCTCCCAGATATCAGGGCAAGGAGTGACTTCACAGCAGGGTAGGCTGCCATACATCACCTTCATAGCCCCATCAACATGAACACTGCCAAGAATTGACAATCCGAAAATATAGTGTTGACATTTACTATAAACAGCTAAGCTGTAGAAATATTATAGGCAGTCAGCTAGGGCTAGACCCTCGAGAGTCAGGACAAAGGTAAAACACATTACAATCATGGCCAGAGATGCATCCATTGGAGACCAGGCCTCAAAATAAAGACGAGATGATCAGGCCTGCATATAGTACTTCCCCAAAGGACAAGATAAGAGGTAACAGCTGGCCTAATTGTCTAAATAGATAGACATTAGTTACCCTGGTGGGTGACCAAGACCTCTGGACCCATCATTTCCTAGAAAAAGCCTTTGTTCTTTCCATTCACACTTGTTATATGACTTGTTTCCCCCTGGATCACTATTACCTAAGCTATTATACTTGTAACCTTATTGATCATAGCTTTAACCCACATTGTACCCACGTGGTTTTTGCTCTACAAACTTTCCTGTAAAGTGGGGTCCTTGGCTACCTATTCGGGACCCCTCCTGCCTCTCAGGAGCTATCCTCTCAATAAATATTTTCCTACTCTTAACCTCTGTTATTCCTAAAATTCATTCTTTAATTTTATTTTTTTTAAATTTTTTTAGCTCTTAAGTTAGAAATATTCTTTACTTTTAAAAGTTACGAGGCATATTATAAAAAGGTTTAAGTGTTTAAACTTAAAATCATGTTAGGATTCGGTCCACTGTCATGCTAACCCATAGAAGTAGATGCAAAACAAGTTGCCTTAATGACAATAAAAGTAAAGTAACATTATCTTTTATGATAGAAAACAACTGATATATAACTGGTGATGTTTTAAGACTCAGAAGGAGCCAGTGGCAAAATTAATGGAAATAACTGAAGTTATATAATGCCAATCATTGGCAGGCTATTTTAAGGTCTGACATAATCTTCATATTATTTCTAGAATTGCATGTAAATTATTACTAGGGTCTGTTTTGTAACAGACCTTGAACATGTCCTTCAATGTACCAAATTGGGTCAAAAATAAAAGTACTTCAAAAGTTAAGAGCAATAAATATGTAAGAAATTATTTTGCTTATTAAATGTTCTCTCAGTAAAATGGAGAATTAAGTGTATTATATTGAGTACTTTTACAATTGGTAGCATAGCTATTTTAGTAATAAAAATTGAGCACCGAGTTGTGGCCAAAGCTCTTAATATCAGTAAAGATCGAAAGTTATTTTAGTTCAGTAAGACAGCTCAGATTTCTTTACGTGTGTTGCCATTTTTAGGTTTATTTCACAATATTTGATATATATAAACAGCTGGCACTGATTTTCAGCCAATCTACAATGATAACGATCAGTTAGTTTTGTTGACATCTGAGTAGCGTTTCATAGCTCTGTATTTCCTAAGGAAGTATAAGGCTTCTAGCTCTTTCATTACAAATTCATCACGTTCAATAGGTTCTCTGATCTTCTCTGGGTCCTTCACATCTTTTTTTAAATTTATATATTTATTGGCACATTTTAGGTATACATTTACATTTATCATTGGGTGTTTGTATCTGAACATGATGTATCTTAGTTATTTTTTCTCCCATTACCTGTGCACCCTTCAGCCCCTCCACCTTTCCCACATCTTTGTTTTTAAGGAAAACATTCTTCAAAAGCCTTTTAAAATGGTCTGCTCCTTTGGGATAATCCTGTCCAAGATACAGCAGATTTTTATACAGGTACAATACTTCTCCTCTTAAAGAATTAGCCATTTTCATTTAACATGGAAATTAATCTACTTTTGTAGATAACACATTTCACTGCCTCCAGACCCCAGGATCTGGAAAACAACACTCAAGCCCTTCCCCGCACGCCACAGCTGGACAAGCCTCTGACCACCTCCACTTCTCTGCCGGCCGCCCTAGGAACTGTCATTCTTCAATTTTAAAGAACACAAACTCGGTGCATCAAAGACTTTTTCTGATTGTCCCTAGTAGCTGTTCATTGTTACTGGCAGTTTCTTGTTATTGGCTCTTGGCAGCTGCTGGCTGTCTCTCATTAATAATGGTAGTCGTTGTCACTGATAGTTATAGCTGTCTCAGCGAAAAAAATCACACCACGAAAATGTCCAAATTAAAGAAGTCTTTTTAATAGCTGGCAACCAAGGACAAGCTCGTGCTCCCATCTTCCTTGGTACCCATCAAGCAGTGAAGCCTAGTTTTTAAAGGGAAAAATCACACAATAGAATGTCATGATCTCATCTTTGAGCAAGCATGGGGCACAGAAGCAGATTGCAAGTTAGATTAAAATACAATTTTGGGGATCCAGCAGGAAATTCCTATCATTATGGTTAAGGCTGAAGTAAAACATGACCTGTCCTTTGTTCTTAACCACAAGGTAAGCTATGTGCTGGTTAATATCACTTTGAACAAGCAGTCTTGGGAGGAAGGATAAAGTTCAGGCACAGGCTATTGAGGGGGTTTCTGGTTAACTCGCTTACTTCAGTTACAACTGGTAGTTGCTACATGTCATTGGTTATCACTAGTAGTTTGTGGTTATAACTAGCAGTAGTTGCTAGTTATCACTGGTCCTTACGGGTAGTTTCTGCTTATCTCTAGTTGTGATTACAATACTTTGTCATTTGAAGATATCCACAAAAGACATAATCTGACACCCTGCTGAGCAAGCTAATGCTGTTCCATAGTCTAAGTGCCACATTTTAAACATATCTGCACCTTTTGTTGATAATTTTCCTGTTTAAAATAAACCAAAACAATTTGTAAGATGGAGCACAGGTTTTTTCTTCTGATATAAATGATAAAATGAAAAGCTATTCATGGCCTGTGTCCAAAAGACTCAGGTTCCTCAGAAGGCAAAGATCGGCCTGTTGGGCATTTGAATAGGTTTTTTTTAAAAATGCCAGCTGGACAGAGGCACTAAGGCCAAAGTCTGTCAATATTTCAGAGGTGATCAGAGTTCAGGCATAGCCAGCATCACCCGGGAGCCCTTCATCCCACTGACATATACTTTTTGTTCAACCATGCCTCAACCAAAAGGTGGAAAATGGGCCCACAAGTGTTGAGAGGAAGCCACTCTTTGGAAGATGTGCAAGCACGGAGCACCTGCAGCCTCCATCCCTGCCCTCTTCTGCTGCAGCCTGGCTTTGTGGGTGGGCTTGGACTAGAGTCCCTGTGATACAGCTTCACTGTCTTCATGTCTGAAGATCTCACTGACGGGACAGGTGGTTTATTTTTTTTATTACAGAGCGCTGGAGAAAAAACAAGTGACTTCTGTACAGGAAATTGTGTTTAGATACATGAAAAACTATTGAAGGTTAAACAGCAGGAGAGTCGGCGATACAACCAAGAGCTTCAACTCCACCCCCTACCTCTGCAGTACGGACCACACACCTCACACAAACACTCCCTTTTCTCCTGCAGGCCCACACAGGCAGCCTGCAGCCTCACCCCTACCATTACTCTGTTCTGGAATGGGGGCCCTGTGTCCCACCACCTCCAGGCTCTGCCTTCCATTCCTCTGCTTTCTGGGATTCACATCCATACCCCAGGGTACTGTCCTCATTCTTGCCCTCACTCTCCTCACCCAAGAGGAAACTTCTGGGGGAAGTGTCCTGGTCTTTTTGCAGTGGAGCCTTCTTTGTTCTCCTCACCCACTGTGGCAGCTTGGCCATTTGCTCCTGCCCAGGTGGCACCAAGTTCATGTCCCGGAGTCCTTTCTCATTCTTCTGTTTGTACTCCATTATTTGTTTGTTGAGTGCCTCATGATCAATCCCACACAGATGAGAGTATGCGGCAGGTCCTGGGGGGTCATATGGTGACAGGCCATCAGGGTTCCTGGGAGAAGAAAAGAACCTTCACATTAAGCACAAGCCAACCCCTAAACCAGGGTGAAATGCCACCACAGGGTACGTCCTACATCTCCACATAGGTACACAGTTGCTCCTGAACATTTATGTATCTGAAGTGACTGTAGACAGGATTATGGGAAGGGGACTCCAGTTGTGGTTCTCCAGCATCAGAACCAGCTAGCAACACAGTCCTGTGCAGCCATTCAGCATGGTCACTAAAAGGATTTTCAACTTTTCTCATTTAAGCATGGCCAGTAAAAGAGAAGTATATGCGGGCCTATACGTGCTGTCATTTAGGATTCTGATGCATCACATGCCAGTTTTCTTGGAAGCCAAACTGAGCACAGTTATGCCATCCTCTGACCCTCCAATACTCAGTTCCAGAAGGTCTTCAAATTCCTGGTTTGGCTCCCTGACCCTTCTCCCCAGTGCTGGGCCCCTACCAGTCCAGGATGTATCAGGCTTGCTATGGTGTGGGGTCCTCCCTGCTGACATCTGTAGGCTAAACTGTAGACACATTGCTGGGTCATAGGGTCCAGGTACCCAGGGATATGGGTGCTGTTCAGTTCTGGCTGTCTCATGCCTGGAATGGTGCCCTCTCCACAAAAACACCTCTGTTCTCCAGGCTCACGCCCTCCCCCATAGGCTATGTCATATTCCTCAAAGCCTTCTCGGACCTCCACCAGTCATCTAAACCCTTACTTTTCTGCACTTTTCTTCCTAACTAAAATGGACTTATCTGTGACAATCAAGACTCCCCTAGCACAATTCATGTTCCACACCAGGGACCACTCAATGATGTTCACAGCTGCATCTAAAACCTGGAGCAGGGCCTGGAATGCAGCAGGCACTCAATAAAAAATGCACTGACCAAATGGAGGTGGGGGGGTGACACTCCCTTCCTTGCTGGTTGAGTCATGGCTTTGAGTCCATGGGCCAGAACACGTGGACACCTGCTGGGCCCATGGTAAGTACCACAGAGGCAACATGGCTAGTCAGGACACAGGCCATACAGCTACTGTGGAAAATAGCAATCCTATGCTTAATGCTATCCCAGGGAACGAGAACACACATCAATAATATGCATCACCTGAAATCAGCTTGTGCTGTGTTGCCTATTTCATCTACAGGCCCAAAGTCAGCTATTTCCAGCAACCGATCAACCTGAAAAGGAAGCACAGGGGAGAGGTAGGCTACACCTCCCACTCCCAACACTCAATGTCACTGTCTCTGAAATAGGCCCAACCAGTCGTCTCCTGGGATGGACCTTGCCTAATTCTTTCTGTGGATACTTCCTCCACACTGGGATCTGCTCTACAGCTTGAGCTTTCAAACACTTAACTATTATTTTAACATGTCACATTTTCTTTAATGATGAATGGAAATGTGTAAAACTTGTAAACTTTAGACAGATCTATGAAGATATCAGTTATATATCAGTTGAATCAAATAACTGATATTCAAGGAAACAATCTGGACTCTTTCCTCAGCTCTTGAAACTCACAGGGAGGGAAACCTGGCTCGCCAGAAGCAAAGTAAGTGCCCAGGCTGGGAGATCCCGGGAGAAATGGCAGCAAAGTCCATGGTCTTTGAAAACTGCAAAGATGTGGGGATTTGCTCCAAGGGGACTCCTTCCACAGGAGTCCAACAGCAGGCAACAGTAGGAAAGGGACTCAAGCACAGGTACCAGAGTGCACTTCATCATGCCCCATTTGGGGAAAGGGGTGACTATTTAAATCTAAAAAAATCTTTAAAAAAACCTTAACTTCACGGTTCCCAGTATTACCTTCCCACAGTGACTGGATGAGAGACAGATACAGGAAACAGCCATGGATAGGGACTGAGCTAGAAAGAGATCATCTGAGAAGTTTAAACTCAGGCCAGGAAGGACAAGGGCCCCATGCTCCACCAGTGAGAAGCCAGGCCCGGCTGAGTTACTCTCAAAAACAGCTCAGTCTTGGGCCGGGGATTTAGTTCAGTGGTGCCACTGCCTGCCTCCCAAGCACAAGGTCCCGAGTTTGATCCCTGGTACCAAAAAACAAAAAACAGCTGGGTTTGAAAGTGCCTGCCAGCATTAAGTACTTGAACCATTACCCTGATGCCTACATCCAGCACAGATCTGAGGTCTGACTGCCGTCCCTATCCAACATAAACAAGGACATGTCTTAATCTGGACACTGCCACAGCCTGGGATAAATGGAAGGCCCTCTAGAATAGGGAGGATAAGTCACAAACCCACAAGCCAGAAGGCAAGGTGAAGAAAAACAAGACTTGCTGTATTCCAAACTACTCATTCAAAAATAAAGAATTTCTTTGTTTTGGGACTCATTTTCTTTCTTCTTTCTTTTTTTTCCCTGGTACCAGGGGATCAAACTCAAGACCTTGCACTTGTGAGGCAGGCACAATGCCACTGAGCTAAATTCCTAGCCCTCATTCTCTTTTATTTTTAAATTATTAAAAAAAATTGTATCCCATTCCCCCCAACCCCCCTCCCCCCCTCCCTATGTACAAAAGTTGTGTTTCCATTTTTTCCTTCTATTTTCACTTTTTTCCTTTGGATTGATTTTTTTTTTTCTTACCTTTTTTTTTTTTTTTTTTTTTAATGGAGACAGAAACTCACTATATACTTTAAGCTGGCCTTAAACCAGGACCTTAAGCCAGGATCACCTTGAAATTGTGGCAATCCTCCTACCTCAGCCTCCCAAATATTGGGAATTGGGATTACAGGGATGCACCACTATGTCTGGCTTTTTTTTTTTTTT